TTCAAACTCCCTCATCTTCTTCGCCAGAATTGTTACGAGAGGATGTTATGAGAAAGAGAGGGAGAGAAATTGTTCGACAAAGTGTCCTTGTTGCTGTTTAACGATCATAAAACGAACCAAGAGAGATGAAGAAGTATTTGCATTAGTTAATCCAAGTGATTTTAGTCATTTAGTGTCGAGTCACACTTGAAGATTGAAAATTATTGGTTGTGAAAATTGTACGAAGAACTCTCTTCCTAAACTGGTTAATCTTCACCTATCTATTCTCCGATAAAATTATCCAATTCGAGCGTTTCTCAGCAACATGAGAAGTATTTGGCCATTTGCAGAGATCGATCGAGTTAATAAATTCAAGTGATTTATAAGTGACTCGGGTCGAGGAAACTTGGAGTTTGCGTGGTATTGCGTGAATTCTCTTGTAAATTTTTGGATCTTCGACTCTTGCATCGTTCAGAGCATTTTTTCCCCCGGCACTGGTTCGTTCATTTCGTTCAATAGAAAAACCTCCGCGTTTTACATATTCATTCTACGATAAAATTATCCATTTCTATCAAACCATAGTTCGCGTATCAATTCAAACAATTCCCGGTAATATGAATCCGCAGACAGATCGATCGAGTTATCCGGATTTTGAATGACACGAATCGAAGAAATTTCGAAACTTGTTGGTTTTCAGCTTCGTTTGGAGCACGCTTGTATTAACAAAGCGATAAGAAGATGTCTTGTAAATTTTCGAATCTTCCTTCGACTCTTACTTAATTGAGCTTAATTTTTTTTCCCTTCAAGTTAATTCGTCCCAACAAAAAAGAAAAAGAAAAAAAAAGAAAAGAAACGTCCGTGCTCTTCACGTGTTCATTGCCCGGGATAAAATTATCCATTTGTATAAAATCGTATTCACGAACCAATTCGAATAAGCCGGTCACCATTGCTCGTATCTAATATAACCGATCCAAAAGCCAAAGGCACACATTGTCATTTACGTTTGGAACCCCGGCGAAGAGTCGAGAAGTACCCTCAAATGTAATTATCCTCATTGCTCGTAACTGGTAAATCGATACGGTGTCCCTGTTGGCGAAAAAGATTCTCCGAGGGTGGTATAATAGCTGAGAGAGAGAGAGAAAGTAGTAGAAAGAGAAATAGCTCGAAGTTCTGTTGTGTCGGGGCTAATGAAAGAACATTGTAAAACACCGGAGCTCCTCCGTTTCGGTGTTCTTTCGGGTGTGCTTTCAGTAACAACGTTGCGTGTTACTGTAATCTAGCCTTATTTATCTCGACCGCTGCTTTTTATCGTAGTCGAGGATGTAAATTGATAACGGTGAAGCGTTTTTAATAAAGCAAACAAACGAACAAAAAAAAAAAAAGAAAAAAAAGAAGGAGAGAGATCTCTCAGCGCACGTACGTCGAGATTGCTTTTTTTTTTTTTATTAAAGAAATCCAGGGGAGTCGCTGCTGCGGAAACAGCGTGTTACAAAATGGAGGGCACGAGTGAGGCGAAAGAGTGAAAATAAATTTCGCACCGGGCGGAACGACGCTCGCTCGAGTTTTTGTAGCTTTTAAATCTCATCGGCGCGGCTCTCTAGGTCATTTTTTAGGGTGGACGTCGAGTAGAGCTATTGAGAGAACCGACGAGAGAGAGAGAGAGAGAGAGAGACACTTTTACATCAGCACTTACAGTCGCGAAATCTAAGGGTTGACAAAACTGAGGGCGAGCACCGCGTTTCTCTAGCCCTCTATTGTTCGAAGCCGATTCCGCTGAAATCGTCAAGCCTTTGAAAGTAAATTTCGCTCGCCGAT